GGCCTACTGTCTCTCTTATTATTTCTCTTTATTTTTGTTTAGATATTGTATGACAGTTTTATCATTTTCTTATTTTGCATGTTAAATTTATTTCTTGTTCATAGAGATTTATTGTTCAAGTATAATTGTGTTTGGATCTAGTATTGTAAGTTTGTCTTTCTACTCATTATTCTAAAAATTATAATTCTAAAATGTTTAATTAATTAATCCTATAATGTTCAAATTCTCAGTTTGAAGAAGATTAACTCATACATAATTAATAACTAAATTCATTTTGATTTGCAATTTCTTAAGATTAAAGTTTGCAAGCTGCCTATGTTAAAAGCTTAATTTAAAGGTTGTAAGCTGCTCCTATTTAAAAACTTGGTTGTTTGGTAAAAATCCCAAACTATTTGTGTTTCTCAATGATTTATTCACTCACTCACTTGTGTCTTTCGTTTCTCTGAATTAAAACTAAAGTTCTTAATATCAATTATTAGTGCAACAATGACTTTGTTTTTCACAAGCTGCTATATATAAACACATGCACTATAGAATAAATTGGCTATGAAATATTGTAATGAAGATGAGATGTTGGAATTATGATGCATTAAATATGAATAGACCTGTTACAACTTGCAACCCATTTATATTGCTTTCTTGTTGGTTAAGTAATAAACTTAACCAACTAACTATCTAACCAACAAATTTAATTATTCAACTAACTTTGAATTAACTAACTAATTCACATAGGTTAACATTTAACATAAGTAATATCACAATTATTCCATGTAATATTTGTAAGGATTTTTTTGTTGGTATTATGAACTTTAGTTAGAGATAATTACTTTCTAATCATAGTTAAAATTAATACCAAATTTAAATTTGATTTAAAATAATTAAATATAAGAAAAATATATGACATTACATAGTTGAATATACTATATACATCCAACAAAATTGTAACGTAATGGAGTATTCACCTATTTTAAAATAGATTTAAATGTGCTCTTATTTTTAAGTTTTTTAAATTTTAGTTTTCTTATTTTAAAAGTTAATTTTTTAGTCTTTAAATTTTATTTTATTTAGAATTTTGTTGCTTTTTATAATTTTGTATATGTGATGTTTTTAATAATGACATGATATTATTACAGTAATTCTTTATAATATATATTTATATAATATATAATTATTATAACAGTTATATATTATTAATAAAGACGATACATAGGTAAAATTAAAGAAAAATCAATAAAATTTCGAATGAGGAAAAATTTAAAGATAAAAAAATTAATTTTTAAAATAAAAAGATTAAAACTTAAAAACTTAAAAATAAAGATACTAAAAATATATTTAAGTCTTTAAAATAAATATAAACTTTCTAAAATATAAGAAAAATGATTAAGGTTAAATTATAAATACTTATTTTTTAATATGTATAGCCGTTAGGTGAAATGGAGTACCTAAAAGACCTGTTCAGTCCTGTCAACAAGTCAAAGACAACAGGCACCACAGAAAAAGTTAATGTTTTTAAACAAAATCCTTGTACTATAATAATAGTCTAAATTTAATTGTCAACTACGAGGATAGCATATTGTATTATCAAATTATTAATTAAATCATAGACTTTGGATTTGATTCACAAGTGTATGAATTAATTAACTTAAGAAAACGTGAATTAGCGAGAGTGAAAAAGATTGAAGTACTAGTTGTTGATGATACCAAAAAGTGGTTTTGTGAAAACAACAAAGAAACCACAGGAAGATTATTATAATACTAATATCAACAAATCAATAGTGAACAACACTTTCTTCGAAAAGAGGCAATTAAAATGTGAAGAAGAAAAAATATGAAAATTTTCTCCTAATTTTTCACTATAAAAAGGACTTCGAAACTCTTGACTCTTCACACATTCATTCCCCATTTCATTTATTTGTGTTTTGTTTGCTTCTTTGTTCTGCCACCTTTTTGTTGTCTCATTCAATATTTGATTTGTTCCTTCATTCGGTGCTGTGCTGCCATTTCAAAAACAACAAGGTATGTGTATGTGTCTTTGTGCTTAGTACTCAAATTTCTTGAAATACTTTAGGATGTCTATGTTTTTAATTTGTATCGGGAGGAGTATGAGTGATAAAACGGATGCTACAAAATATATGTCAATTTTGTCTTATTTTTTAAAATAAATAAATAAATATTTTTAAATCCACACTCTTTAATATATTCGAACCAGTATATCTACAGAGTGAGACCAGTTTTAAATCTGCACTCACAATTATATTCTCTCTATCTCATTTTTTTTACAAGATTTTACTAAAAAGTTTAAATCAGATGGAGATGTTGGTTTGACACTTAATTGAGAGCACAAAGAGATCAAATATGTTAGGTGGAATGTCGACATACTTAAGATATCCGTTATTATTACATTTTCAAATTTTATTTGATTTAATATATTTTTGAATATTTGCATTTGGAGTAATATGTACTACTAGTATACCTATCTCACTCTTTCTCACTACACATTCAATATTGATTACTATTTCTGAATGCAATTTATTGTTATGAACCGTCCTATTGCTATTAAAGTCTTGCATTAATAGTTTTGATAACTTTATGTCAGATGAGAAAGTATTTAGATACACTTTGATAGCATTTCATTTCTTTGTTTCTTATAAATAGATATTTCCTCCGTTCTAAATTATAAAATATTTTAGAAAAAAATTAATGATGTTTTTTTTAATATATCTTTTATTATTTATTTATCTTTTTTAATTTTTTTAATTTATTTTTTTCTGTAATTAACAAAGAATAATAGTGAAAAATCATAAATAATTTATTTTTTTATATAATAATAATAATTTTTTTAATACGTGTGAAATATCTGAAATATTTATAATTTAAAACAAAGAGATTACGAAAAGTGTATAAATATGACTTACTCTAAAATACAGTAATATTTTATTCATTAAACCAATTTAGTTGTTAATTGTATAAAAATATTAGTCGCTGAAGATTAGGTTCAAATATATGATATTTCAATTATTCACTTTTATTGGTTAAATTTAAGTCACTAACTTATTTGATCTATTTTAAAAAAATCAGACAGTTCATTAAATTAATGAGGATATTGGATCATTATTTTCTTAATCCAACCATTAAATAATTAATTAATTTATATTATTAAATTAAATAATTTAATTGAATAAATTGATATCTATAACAAAAATGTATATTTATTAAATTAATCGTACCAGATAATTTGATCTCTAAAATATAATACAACACTAACAAAATTTTAAAATTTTAAAATATTATAATTTAACATTGATTCTTTAAATTTAAATTAAAAATATAATCATCACTTATGACAAAATAATAAAAAAATAATAAATTTAAATAAATTTAGAATAAGATTTAATTACCAATAAAAAATTATTTTAAATAAGTTTGAAATAAAATTTAATTTAATTTTTTAAAATAACTATAAAAATAACAATGTTTTGTTTGAAAAAAATATATATTTCACCTGCCAATTTTTTAAAATCAATCATTTATCAATTTTTATTGATTTTGACTGATTTCTACTAGATTAATAGCATATTTAATACACTAATTCGGTCTAGTTTTTATAACCCCATATTTGAAAAAAAAAATTATAAATAAAGTACCTTATAGCATGGCAAGTCTAATTAGGGGGGACCAGGCTTCATTGCAATTAATTCAAGTTACTCATTAGGTCGTAAGATATGATGTAACACCAAAAAATTATTGCGTGTGTGATTAACCACAGAATGCAACCCTTTTTATCATTTTATCATTTGTTTGTTGATTTTTTTTTTTTTAATTTTTAAAGTTTTTTTTATCAATGTGTTGTATAATATAAATGTGTCTAAATTCTAAACAAATAAATTTTAAACTATTACTCAAATTAAACTATAAATTAATATAAAAAATTATTAATAATAATAAATTATTATTGACCTTATCACTCAAATCAAATTTTAAATTATTTTTTAAAATTAAACTAATAATTTGATTCCAATTGATTAATTATGATTTAGGTTTAGTTAATTGTAATTTAATATTAAATTATTAGAACTATTCAATTAAGTAGATTATTAACTAAATTCAATTCAGTTCAATTCATTGATTTCTTTGCATTCTATAAGATTTTTCAAAAACAATTCGAAAAATATTGTGATAATTAATTTTTCCACAAATTAAATTATTTTTATATGTTTATCTTTAAATATTAATATCTTAAATTATTTTTATACCTTTGACACTCTTAGGTTTTAACACTAAAATCACTGATTTTTTTACCGAAAGTGCAAATAGTTTTTTATAAGTAGTTGTGTTATTTAAAATAGTTTATAAAAAGACTAGTTAATAAGAGATTATAAATTATAATTTTCAATAAAATTATAAATAAAAATACTTTTTAAGGAAATCATAATTAAATATTAGATTCAGCAAAAAAAAAATCATATATTTAGAAAGAAAAAAGAAAAAGTGAATAATCTTCTTAGAATTAAAGACAAACAGATTATTCAAAGTTTCCACCAACAAAAAAGTCCATATTACTTTCACAAAGAAAAACCTTGGGCAGCTCCCATGTGCCATTTTCCATATTGGCATTCTTTCAATGTTGAAATATAAACACTCTTTTGATTAAATCTAATTATTATTATTTTCCTAACTATAATTCTAATTTCATATATATATATATATATAATACAAATTTTACTAAATTATGAAAGATTATAAATTTCTTCATATAATTTATAGAAAGCTACTTCTAGAATATGATTTGAAGTTGTGAATTTACAAAACAGTCCTTGACAGAAAGTGTTGTGTTGAATATGTTCTTTCTTTCTTTCTTTCTCTATCTTTCGCGCTCGAGTCTTGTCTATAAATTAACGCATTCACAACTTCCATCACCATCCATTCATTTCTCTTCTCTCTTCAACTTTTCACCATTTTCCACTCACTTCTATTTCTCCATTTCTTAAGCTTTTGAAGCAATGGCGAGTCTCACTCGTTCTACCTCACTCCGTCAGAGGGTTGATGAATCTCTCACTGCTCACAGGAACGAAATTCTGGCTCTTCTCTCAAGGTAGGAGTACTATCTGAGCTTGATGTTCTTGTTTTTTTTTTTTTATGTAAAAATTGTGCATGTTTGTTTGAATCGATGATGTTATGGTGTTAATAGAATTGAAGCAAAGGGAAAGGGAATTCTGCAACATCATCAGATCATTGCTGAGTTTGAAGAAATTCCTGAGGAGAATAGGCAGAAGCTTGTTAATGGAGCCTTTGGAGAAGTTTTGAGATCCATTCAGGTAACTGTAACCTCTCTTTTTTTTTTGTCTGTGTTAGAATGAATGGATTCTTGGCGGAGTTTGTTTATGCTTTAGTTTGTTTTTTTTGTTGTGTAGGAAGCTATTGTGTTGGTACCGTTTGTTGCTCTTGCTGTTCGTCCTAGGCCTGGAGTTTGGGAGTATCTGAGAGTCGACGTGCAAGGACTTGTTGTCGATGAACTGAGTGCGGCTGAGTATCTCAAGTTCAAGGAGGAGCTTGTTGAAGGAAGGTAAAGTTTTCGAGGTTCCATTGCTCTTGATTTTGTCTGCAATGAAGGGTATGTTATTTCTCATGGCCCTCTCTGAGGGCATGCATGACAGGCTACCATACATAAAGAGCCCAAAATTTATTACAGTTTAACCGTCGCTAAATAGGGTCTATAAAATATTTATATTTGTTAACTTATGGTTAAATAAGACATTGGTTTGTTTTGTCATAGTTAAATTCAAAAACATGAGACGACTTTGTTACTTCTAGTACAAAGATTTGACATGTTTCATTTATCTCTTATTGTAGTTCTAATGAAAACTTTGTGCTTGAGTTGGACTTTGAACCTTTCAATGCCTCAATTCCGAAACCAACGCAGAACAAGTCGATTGGAAATGGTGTTGAGTTTCTCAATCGCCATCTTTCTGCTAAGCTTTTCCATGGCAAAGAAAGTTTGCAGCCTCTTCTGGAGTTTCTTAGGCTTCACAACCATAATGGAAAGGTATTTTTGACAAATGTATTGCTAATTTGCTACACATTTGACGTTTTCTTAATCGCGTCCTTTTGTTTCGTTTGTTTTGATTTTACTGAATTGAGGTTTTGGTTATTGCAGACTATTATGGTTAATGACAGAATTCAAAATCTGAATTCTCTTCAACATGTTTTGAGAAAAGCAGAAGATTATCTGATCAAGATTGCTCCTGAAACACCGTACTCGGATTTTGAACACAAATTCCAGGAAATTGGTTTGGAGAGAGGGTGGGGAGACACTGCCGAGCGTGTCGTTGAAACAATCCAACTTCTGTTGGATCTTCTTGATGCACCTGATCCTTGCACCCTCGAGACATTCCTTGGAAGAATCCCTATGGTCTTCAATGTTGTCATCCTTTCTCCACATGGTTATTTCGCCCAAGATAACGTCTTAGGATACCCCGATACCGGTGGCCAGGTTAGTTTCGATAACATATTGCATCATAGTTTTAAATTGTGGCGCAATGTCTTTGAGGTCGTTACCTTTCAATGTTGAGTGACATGTTCTTATTGATTCTTTTATCTAGATTGTGTACATCTTGGATCAAGTTCGTGCTTTGGAGGAAGAGATGCTCAAACGTATCAAGCAACAAGGCTTGGATATCACACCTCGCATTCTCATTGTATGTCCTAATATGCTTTTGAAGAGTTAGAATATTTATGAAGTATGGTATACGGATATTTCTCTAACTAGCACTTGTGGTTTCGGTTAAATTCAGATCACCCGTCTTCTCCCCGATGCAGTGGGAACTACTTGTGGTCAACGTCTTGAGAAGGTATACAACACCGAATATTGCCACATTCTTCGAGTTCCCTTTAGAACAGAAAAGGGAATTGTTCGCAAATGGATCTCAAGATTTGAAGTCTGGCCTTACCTAGAGACTTTCAGCGAGGTGCAACTTTCATTCATAAATTCGACAAAATATAAGCATTTTCATGTTTTTCACTTGAATTTAATTTCAATTTGAGATGAAACTATTTATTGTCATTAGGATGTCGCCACTGAACTTGCCAAAGAGTTGCAAGGCAAGCCTGATCTGATTGTTGGAAACTACAGCGATGGAAACATCGTTGCCTCTTTGTTAGCACATAAATTAGGCGTAACACAGGTTTGTCTACACACTTTGATTTTCTAATATAGTTTTCACCTCTGTTGATTATGCTTTGAAATATCTTAAAGCTTATACGCTAATTCTAACACGAAATTGCAGTGTACTATTGCTCATGCACTCGAGAAGACCAAGTATCCCGACTCTGACATTTATTGGAAAAAATTCGATGACAAATATCACTTCTCGTCCCAATTTACTGCTGATCTTTTTGCAATGAACCACACTGACTTTATCATCACAAGTACCTTCCAAGAGATTGCTGGAAGGTAAACTATTGTTGAACTGTTCTTAATGCATCATATTATTTATTGATAATCTTACTGAACCTGAAAATCTCATGTCTTTGTAATTTTACAGCAAAAATACTGTTGGGCAGTATGAGAGTCACACAGCCTTCACCCTTCCTGGGCTTTACCGTGTTGTTCACGGTATTGATGTCTTTGATCCAAAGTTCAACATTGTCTCTCCCGGAGCTGATTTGAGCATTTACTTCCCATATACCGAAACTGAGCGTAGATTGACATCATTCCACCCTGATATTGAAGAACTTCTCTACAGCTCAGTGGAAAATGAGGAGCACATGTAAGCACAACACAATGATTTATTGTTATGTAATACTAGATTCCCCTTTATTATTTCACAGAACCTTTGTCTGATTTATCTGTGTTTTGTAACAGATGTGTACTGAAGGATCGCAGCAAGCCAATTATCTTCACGATGGCAAGGTTGGACCGAGTAAAAAACATTACAGGGCTTGTTGAGTGGTATGGCAAGAATGCTCGTCTAAGGGAACTGGTAAACCTTGTCGTTGTTGCTGGAGACCGAAGGAAGGAGTCCAAGGATTTAGAAGAGATTGCTGAGATGAAGAAAATGTACGGCCTGATCGAGACCTACAAATTGAACGGCCAATTCAGATGGATTTCCGCACAAATGGACCGAATTAGAAACGGAGAGCTTTACCGTGTCATCTGTGACACAAAGGGTGCTTTTGTGCAGCCAGCTATTTATGAAGCTTTTGGTTTGACTGTCATTGAAGCCATGACTTGTGGATTGCCAACATTTGCCACATGTAATGGTGGTCCTGCTGAGATCATTGTTCATGGAACATCTGGTTACCATATTGATCCTTATCACGGTGACCGTGCTGCCGAGACTCTTGTTGAATTCTTTGAGAAGACTAAGGCTGATCCTACTTACTGGGACAAAATCTCCCATGGAGGTCTCAAACGTATTCACGAGAAGTAAGCTACTCGCACACATTTAGTTATATTATCGTGTTTGATGTCTGCGTTAGTGTTTCATATGTCTAACGCCTACATTTTATTGACTTTGCGCTATAGGTACACATGGCAGATTTATTCTGACAGGCTTCTGACTCTTACTGGCGTGTATGGCTTCTGGAAGCATGTGACAAACCTCGATCGCCGTGAGAGCAAACGCTACCTTGAGATGTTTTATGCACTCAAATACAGCAAATTGGTAATATTTATTCTCTCATTACACTATATTTAGAGCTTTTGAAATTTAAAAGTAGTTTAATACATTGCTTTTCCTCCAAGAAATGGTTAATAATGTTGTTCTCAATGTTTATTTCAATTCACTTTATCAATGTTGTTCTCCAGGCTCAATCTGTGCCTCTTGCTGTCGAAGAGTAAATGAAGAAGAGGGGGAGATATTGCAGAACCAACATTTTGTCATTTGGAGTCATCTGGAGCGATTTTAAATTAAATAAAACCATTGATTTTGATATTGTGACGAGGTTTTCGATCGAAAATAAAAGTGTTTTTTTCTTTTCTTTTTTGAAGTAGAAATAAAGTGTACTTTTCTTTTATGCATTTTTGGATGTTACTGGAATCATCCAATTTGGGTGTTAACCCCATAAATTCAATTTCAGAAGTGCTTTCAATTCAATTTTGGTGTTCATTGTCTTATCTTACAATAGAATTTATAATATTAGTTATTAATATTATTATTGAATTTTAATTGTATTTGAATTTTTAATTTTACTATTCATTATCAATATTATATAATATAGTGTTTTTGACGCATTTGAAATATTAAAGAAATAAAAAATTTAGCTTTTATCTTTCTTTTCTAGTATAGAAACTTACGGTTTTTATTAGTTTTGTTAAGATTCCTAATTAGCATCCTAAGAGCCATTGAGTTTCCACGCAACTTGTCTCCCTGGCATGCACTTTTTATGGTACCTTGTACAAACAAGTCTGGGTGGAAAAAAAATGCCACCTTACATTACATACAATTTTGGAAAGTTAAGTTAAAGAAATTTGGCAGATATATACATGTGGGAGAAGCATCTTTTTGTGACCATTGTGTTTTCTACCAAGTTGGGTCTATCCCAAACTAGTAGAAAAACCAAAAGAATATTTTTTTTTTAGTAAAATGTGTTTTTGAGCTCCCCATTCTCTTTCCATTTTAAAATTTGAATCAATCATATTTAATATAAATTTTTCCTCTCTCTTCCTCCATCTACTATGAACCAAACAGCATTCTAAGAAAGATACTCAAATTAAAATTACAGACTATGTAATTTTTATTGGACCGTGTAATTCACGTATATATCTCTATTTTCTCAAATCAAAATTGCTAATTTAATACATTAATTTCTAAAAATAAACAATTAAAATTTTGTAGTTTTGAGAAGTTCTTTATTCTCAATATAGAACTCTTTCAATAAAAAAACAGAGAATAAAATAAACTGACACACTTAAGGAATAAATGAAAAATCCATTCTGCTTCAAGATTCCCATACTTGGCTTATTTGAAGCCCTTGGCTGTGATATCCAACTAGACCCTTGTTGTGACTTGTGTGTGAGTATTAGAGCATTTACAAAATATTTTTGGTTGGTTGTGCAATAGTTTGTGAGTTCAAAGTGCCACATTGTATCTAAGAGATTTATAAATTGTGTCAATTTTATTCTAATGGTAATTGTAAATTAGCAATTTAAAATTAATCCCATCTATTTATATTATTTTATTTGTATTTAAAGAAATAATTTTTTATGTGTAAAAAAAAATTTACTTTTTCATGAGAAATAATATCTATTATCAATCTATTAAAAGTAAAGTATCTGGAAATTCCAAGTCTAACCTTTTGATTAGATGTTATAATTTTTCTTATTCCAAGGGTATAATAGACTAATCAACACTATGCTGTTACCATATTCATTTGGCATTTAATTTTGCTGACATGTCAATCTATCATAATTTTACACTATTTTTTATTTATTTGATTTATTAATTTATTTTATTTATATTTGAATTTTATTTATATTTGAATTCCAATTCCAATGTTTCATTCACGGTTAATTTATTTATATTTGAATTCCAATTTTTTTTTGACAGAATTTGAATTCTAATGTTTGACTCACGGTTAATGAGAAAGGAATTGGAATGGCCAAATTAGATCTATTATAATTAAATGAAATATTATTAATTACATGATTTAAAAATATCCATTATTTATCATTACACTACAAGATTAAAGGTATATTATTGGAATTAGAATGGATTATTTTGATATTCCAAGATATCACAACTTCTCATGCATTCTAAACCCTATATATAGCTATTCTAAACTCTTACTCTTTCACTCCTGAATCTTCTTCATTCTCCATTATTTTCAAAAAGGTTACGTATTATTTTCCAATTCTTCTTCATTCCCATATTTTGATTCTCTGTGTCCATTTTAATACAGATTTTGTAACAGGTCTAAATATCTATTGTCAATCTATTAAAAGTAAAGTACTTGGAAATTCCAAGTCTAACCTTTTGATTATATGTTATAACTTTTCTTATTCCAAGGGTATAATAGACTAATCAACACTATGCTGTTACCATATTCATTTGGCATTTAATTTTGCTGACATGTCAATCTATCATAATTTTACACTATTTTTTATTTATTTGATTTATTAATTTATTTTATTTATATTTGAATTTTATTTATATTTGAATTCCAATTCCAATGTTTCATTCACAGTTAATTTATTTATATTTGAATTCCAATGTTTTTTTTTTGGACAGAATTTGAATTCTAATGTTTGACTCACGGTTAATGAAGAAGGAATTGGAATGGCCAAATTAGATCTATTATAATTAAATGGAATATTATTCATTGCATGATTTAAAAATACTCACTATTTATGATTACACTACAAGATTAAATGTATATTATTGGAATTAGAATGAATTATTTTGATATTCCAAGATATCACAACTTCCCATGCATTCTAAACCATATATATATATATATATATATATATATATATATATATATATATATAGTCATTCTAAACCCTTACTCTTTCACTCCTCAATCTTCTTCATTCTCCATTATTTTAAAAAGTTACGTATTATTTTCCAATTCTTCTTCATTCTCATATTTTGATTCTCTGTGTCCATTTTAATACAGATTTTGTAACAGGTCTAAATAGTAACATCAATGGCGCGACCGATTGAAGCTGTGAAAGACATCAACGACTCAAACATTTAATTTTGCTGACATGTCAATCTATCATAATTTTACACTATTTTTTATTTATTTGATTTATTAATTTATTTTATTTATATTTGAATTATATTTATATTTGAATTCCAATTCCAATGTTTCATTCACGGTTAATTTATTTATATTTGAATTTCAATTCCAATGTTTCATTCACGGTTTATTTATTTATATCTATTCCTCTCATTTGTTGTTTATGTTTTTTTAGATGCACTATCTATTTTTTGTAAATTTAGAATACAATGAATCAGTTGTACAAAGTGTGTTGTAAATACAAATTAAAGAGAATGTATATATGATGAAGGTTCAAAAGGTCTGTCCCTGGGAATATGGAAAAGTACATTTGAGTTTAAAATTTGAATTATTGCAATTATAAATTATGTATTATGATTAATTGATAAAATAATTATGATTTATGATTATAAGTATCTTAAAATCATATAAATTATGATTAATGATTTATTGCAAAATGATAAAATAATTTTCAAAAAAATAAATATTCTAAAATGAGTAATAATTAACTTGAAATTAAATATATAAAGTGAATCATTAAAATCGATAAAATTTTCTATCATTTTAAAACAAATTTATTAAAAAATATTAGCAAAATTGTGATTTGTTTAAAATTTTAAGTAAGTATTATTATAGTTTAAATAATATTTGTTACTAAAATATATTAAAAATCATGTATTTTTATGAAATATTATTAAAAAGCATGTATTTTTAAGAAATATTAATAAAAATCGTCTCATTTTTATTAATATTTCTTAAAATACTTTATTTTGAATATTTCTTAAGAAAATACTTTTGAAAGAAACTATTATACGTATGATAACTTTACAAAGAGTTAATTGATCAATTAATTCAATTAGATCATTTTAAAAAGATTAATCGATTCATTGAAATTCAATTAAATTGAATTAATGAAAATAAAATATATAATATTGATATAATTTTAAATAGCATTCAAAAAGTATTTTAAGAAAAAACTATATAATTTTGAATGCTATTGATATATTTTAAAATAATTTAGATTTTTATAAAAAGTTTAATAAAACAAAATAAAATCAATTGAAATTCTATAATTTTTTAAAATTTATTAAATAACTAAAATTTATGAGAATCTTTTCAATGGTAATCATGATAAAAAATATTAAATGGTAGTCATGAAAATTTAATGATAAATGGTAATCATAAAAAATTAATGATAAAAAGTAAAAATTTAATGATACAATTATTTCTATAAACGGAATAAGTTACAATTATTTTTATACAAGAGAATAACTTACAAATATTTTTATAAATGGACACACGAGTTCAATGTGTTTATAAACGCAAAGAAAGTTAGAATAACTTTATAAACGCGAATAAGTTACAAATATTTTTATAAAGGATAAAAATTGAAGTATTAAAACAATTATTTTTAACATGAATAAATTAAATTTTACTTTATAAATTATCACACGGGTTCAAGTCCCTTATAAACGGGAAAAAGTCTATATGTTGATATAAATATTTTTATATACGAAAATAAGTTACAATAATTTTTTTAAACTAGAATAAGTTACAAATATTTTTATAAACGAAAAAAATTCAATTTATTATTCAATTATTATTATAAATCGGAATAAATTACAAATATTTTTTTATAAATAGACACACGAGTTCAATGCGCTTTCTATGTTTGTAACTATATAAATGTTAATTAACTGAATAAATATATACAAATTTGATAAATGAGAGTGAGAGACGTATAATGTGAATTCAGACGATAACCGTATGATAGCACGAGTTTCTTACTATTTAATGTTGTTAATTTCGTATTAATTTCTAATGCACCGATTTTCTAAACGTCGTTTTTAAAAACTTTTCATTGCTATTTTCAGAATATACTATTTCAAATTATTCTATTTTTTTCTTATATATAATTAATGTTTTTTTACTAATTCTAAATTATGACACTTAAATTACATTTTTGCTAACTCTATAATTTTCTTCTATTAATTGTTTCTTATTCAATTCTTATATTATATAATTTAACAATAAAGACTTAATACTCTCTTAGTCAAATATATTAATCTAAGATTTCTTTTTTATTTCTCATTTTATTTCTCAATTTAATAGCCGTAG